AGCAGTGTTTCTTAAAGGGGCAGTCCTTTTTTCCTCTCTCTTTTTCTACAACTTTTGGTGGCTTCCTTTTTTGTTTCTTTTTTTTTCTTTTTTTTTCTACAACTTTGCCCCAGCTTTTTGCGCTGGATCCACTAATATCTTGGCTCTTTGTCCGGAATGGGTTGGTCACCCCTTGTCCAGGAAATAGAAATGCGTTTCTTGTGATAGAAAGTTTAATAGACAGGTTTACTTCTAGCATTCCTTTGATAATGTTACTACCAGCTATGAAGTAATGTCTGCAGTTGATAGACCACATTTTAGACCTTCTGTCGTCAAAATGGAAATAAGGACTTGCGTATGAATTTATTGGCAGTTTTTATTTTAAAGAATTTTTTTAAAACTTTAATTGAATTTAGTCTGGAGAATGAAATTATTGCCATCTGTACACTGCTAAGTGGCGTATGTAAAATTAGCTGGTCATCTCAGTCTCGCTTTCTGTGATCAGTGATTATGTTGTTAAAACTACCATAATGAGCATTTTCATTAGTCTTAGCTGAAGGGATATCTAGAATATGATTCAAAGAGTGTGAGGGAGGGAGCACAGGGATTAGAATTTTAGCATATTTTAACTAACAGTCTAAAACTACTGTAGACTATACAAGTTACATGAGGTGGTTAAAAGCTCTAGGGGGTAGCTGAGTTAGTCTTTAAAGTGCTACCAGACTATTTGTTGTTTGTTTATCCTATACAGACTAACAAAACATGTAAATGTGTGAAGAACCTCTCCCAAGAACCTCCACCATCTGCAACATAACTTTTCCTTGTCCTGCAGTTCCATAGCCTCCACATCTCAGAGCCTCAGGAAACGGAGAGGGTGAGACTCAAGGGCAGCTTCACACTCAACCTCCAGGGCATCATAAAGCAATATGCTGTCGTCCTCAAGTTTCTAAGTATCCCTCCTTTTTCAGGTCCCACAACGGACTTCTTTTCTGCCCCGAAGTCTTCCCTAAATAAAAGTGTATGATCTCTTAACAGCAGTCTTTTTATTCTTGCATTGCAGGGGTGGAGTGGAAGATTACAGGCAAACACACTAAACGTAGGAGCACTTAGTTGAGAGCAACATGCATGAATCTCAAAATGGGCCTTTTATAAAACTTTTTCAAAGTGTTTCTGATTTGCAGTTCCCTGCACTATGCTTTCCTTATTGCCCGGGTGTCTGGCTGTTTCAAAACCTCTGCCTTGGCACCGGGGCCGGCCCAAGCCATTTTGGCACCCCGGACCCGGGCGCGTGGCACTACCCCCGGCCGGGCGCGCGGCGTGGCCCCAGGCGTATGCATGGGCCCACACCTGGGGCATGGGCCCGCCCCCGGTGCACACGGCACATGTGCTGCCCGGCTGCTGGCGTGCAGCCCAGGGCCTGCCCCGGGGTGCATGCACTGCCCAGCCCAGCCACCGCTGCTGGTGCGCAGCGCCTGGCCATGCAGGGCCCCGTGGCTGTGGGGGGAAGGGTGCTGCTGGCCAGCACCGTGGGGATGCATGGGGGCCAGCGCTGCGGGAGCTGGGTGCACGGCGCCTGATGGCAGCTATAAGGGATGCCATGTGCCCCTTACACCTGCCATCAGGCGCCCCCCATCAGTTGGCGCCCTGGGCAGCTGCCCGGCTCGCCCACCCCTTAACTCCAGCTCTGCTTGGCACTCTGCCTCAGCCTCTGACTGATTACTTTCCCCCTTTCTCTCTCAAAGATTATGGAGCACACGACAGGCTGTCACCATAAAGGGAATATTGCATTTGCCGAGGTCCAACCTAGTCAGTAGACTCCTGACTCTTCCCTTGAAATGCTCAAAAGCACATTGTCACCATTCTTCATTTGCTCAGCCTGAAGTTGAATTACTCCTTACTGCAGTCCAAACTGCCTGGCTGTATCTAGACTGGCCAGTTTTTCCGGAAAATCAGCCCCTTTTGTGGAAAAATTTGCCAGCTGTCTACACTGGCCGCTTGAATTTCTGCAAAAGCACTGACTTCCTACTGTAAGAAATCAGTGCTTCTTGCGGAAATGCTATTCTGCTCCCATTCAGGCAAAAGTCCCTTTTGCGTAAAGCTTTTGCGCAAAAGGGCCAGTGTAGACAGCTCAGATTTGTTTTGCGCAAAAAAGCCCTGATCGCGAAAATGGCGATCGGGGCTTTTTTGCGGAAAAGCGCATCTAGATTGGCACAGACGCTTTTCTGCAAAAAGTGCTTTTGCGGAAAAGCGTCCATGCCAATCTAGACGCTCTGTTCCGAAAACGCTTTTAACGGAAAACTTTTCTGTTAAAAGCATTTCCGGAAAATCATGACAATCTAGACGTAACCCCTGTGTACAGCTTCATGAGCCATGAAAGCAAGGGGTAGACTGGATTACTATTGGTATTTTCACCTCTCCTAAACTGATTTTCCAATGTGCATCTTTCCTAAAGATGTTCCTAATCATGCACTTTTCCTGACTTTCCATGCTGCTGTTGGAGAAATAGCCCTTGTGATCCATCAGCATGTGAAGCACTGTGCAAATATAGCCTTGCCAGTACTTTTAATTTGCAGGTCTCGTGGAATTTGGTGTTTTTCTTAAAGCCTCCATTCTTTGAGTTCTGTTATTTGCATAAGAAAGTCAACTTTCATAATAAAGTAAGTTTCTAGCCATTGTTGTTGCAGAGAAAAGATACGTGTTCCTCAAGTGTATTCTACATTCATCAGAATGCAAATAAAATATTTTTAATTCTATGATTAAACCAATCTCATAATTTCAGGGGCAGAGAACGAAGAGTGCTGACTAATTATTTTTAATGCTCAGGTTTAGCCATACTGCAAATTTATAATAAATTATAGACCATGTCTCAGAGAGTTTACACTCCAAGTGTCCAATCTTACATATATTTATATACTTGCTTAATTTTAAACAAATTTAGTGCTACTGATTTAAGCATTTAAGTTAGTATTTTCAAGATTGGGTCCAGAATTTCCTATGCTTTGATAGTTTTGCTTAAGCAATGGTTAACCAGGATCAATAATTTTGTCTGACTCAGTGAATCCTAAATGTGGTTACACATTGTCCTTGATCCTACAAGTGGATGTGCTCTAGCAGATCTTTAAACCTTAAAGGCAGTGTTCCTTGTAAGCTCAGTGCTTGGCTGGCCACCAGAGAGAGATTCAGGTGCTCCAGAACACCCATGGCTGCCCCACAGTTGGCAGCATGTGTTTCTACTGGTGGTGCACATCCCACATCTACCTCAGTGCACATAATGAAATGTATTCTACACATGCATGGAAAAAATTAGAGGGAACAACGCCTGGAGGCTCTATTAATTTCTGAGTGCCACATGGGTACAAGAATCCATCTGTGTGGATCCTCTTCCAAGATCCAATCCAGTGGTGGGAACCTTTTTTGGGTTGGGGGGCTGTTGACCACAGAAAAATCAGTTGGGAGATGTACACAAGTGAGAAGAAAAAACAAAAAATAAACCCCCTCACTGATGAGGCCCCCAACTGAGAAAGAGAAAGACATTCCCTTAGCACAGTGTTTCTCAACCTTTTTTTTAAATAAAATACCCCTTTAAAAAAATTAGAAGTACCCCAGTACCTACAGTTTTCAGACAATTTCTTTTCTACCATTACAACACATTTGTTTAAACAACTTAATCATAGCCAGGAAATCACATTTTTGGGTGTAAAAAGTACAAAAATAATAAAGCGCTGTAAAACTTAAAACAAAAATTCTGTTTTCTCCAAATTTCAGTTGTGTTGATGAAAACAACACAGAAGTACCCCAGACTTCTCTTGAGTTCCCCTGAGGGTACTCCTACCACTGGTTGAGAAACACTGCCTTAGCACACCAGAGCCTGGGGGCATGGGAGGGGGCAAGCTAGTAGTTTTGTGTGTTCCAGCCCTGCAGTGGGAAGAGAAGCTAGACCACCAGCATAGGCTTCACAATATGGAAGGGGGAGCCCTGAGCCTCCGGCTGGATCTAGGCAAGCTGGGGGGGCCGGGCCTTAGGTTCCCCACCCTGATCCAATAATCCTTACCCGAGTAAGCTACTACAACACCTACTTCCAATAATGGCTTGTGAGCTCCAGACTATATATTTCCGTGTGGTTGGTTTGTCCTTGCCTCCCTTACTTTTTGCAGATGCTCAGCTCTGTCTTTTAAATATTGTGCATAGTCCTCGCCCTTCCCATGGGCCCCCAGTTTTACCACGTTTCTATTCCTGTTTCCCCCTGGCTGATCCATTTCTTTTGGCAGCCCTGTGAGCCTACGTCAGACACGCCCCCCTCCCCAACAGTATACAATGGGCTTGGGTGGTTCCAGCTGGGAACTGCCCATTCTCAGCCTGAGCTGCGGTTGGGCGGCCACAAACTCCCTCCCAGCAGCGCCTGGGCTGAGAGAAAGGAGCCAGCCCCGCCCCACCCCACCCCGCACGCGCCCAGAGCACAGCAAAGCTAAGGCGCGCCAATGAAGCACTGAGGGCACAGGCGCTTCCCCGAGGCTTCGCTTCCCCCATTGCGCATGTGCAGGATCGCTGCGCCTGCTCCTTGGGACCGCTAGCCGCCCTCTGCGAATGCGCAGGAGCAGAAAGAGCCGCGCTCGCGGGGGGGAGGCCGAGAGCCTTTTGTTGATCCAGCTGCGGGGCCGGCCGGCGCTAGGACCCGGCGCGCACTTTGTTATTTTTCCCATCCTCCTCCAGAGAAAGAGCGATGGCGGCCCGTTAGCGGCGCGTGCGGGCGGTGGGGCTGGGACTGCGCCGAACGCACCGGGGCGATGGGGGGCGGCGCGGCCCGGCCCCCTGCGTGAGGCGCGCCA